AAGCAGGCTTCCTGCCGAGCAGGGAGCCCGATGTGGGACTCGATCCCAGGACCCTGGGATCATGACCTGAGCTGAAGGCAGATGCTTAACAACTGAGCCACCCAGGCGCCCTGGGCCAAGTCTTGAAGATGAGCAGGAGAGTTTGCCAGATGGGACAAGAGGTGGGGGAAGGTCATCCTAGGTTTTGGCTAGGTTTGGGAGGACCCAGCGTGAAGCCATGGGTATGCGATCTGTGAAAATTCAGCCTTGTAATCCCCACATTGTGACACATAACTGATGCCCAGGATAGATTTGTTGGCTTTATTTTATTTGGACTGCCTAGAATGCCCTTTGGGCTCTACACTGAAGAAGGACTGATGTTGGGACTACAATTCCCATAGTGCGTCGGGGGCCCATTGGCTGAAAGGTTGGAACTTAGCGTTCACAGAGTGCCCAGGGTTCTCTAGAGGGAAAATAAGAAGCCCTGATGTTCTCTTAGCCTTCCAGATGTAACTTGGCTCTTTCACCCCAGTCCTTACTTCCCCGCTGCGTAGACTTCAGCCGTGTCAAATAGGTTTACACCGTGCTCATAGGCCACTGTCAGCACGTCCTCTGCTGTCTATGGAGGTGACAGAGATGAAGATCAAGCACTGGCCCCCAACGACCTCCCTCTGCACTGCAGCCCCACTGCACCTTGGCCCCGGCCCTACCCTCCAGCCTCAGGCCTGCCATTCCCCGTGCTTGTTGTCCAAACCCCTCTCCGAGTCCACTCCCCTCTTCTCTGGTTCCCTCACACCCCCTCACCCTGCTTCCAGGGCCCATCATTTATACCTTGTCCGAGATTTGAGAACCAAACGTGACCCAGGTGCCTGCGAGAGAGATACCAGGCATGTGACCACCGTGGGGGGGGGGCAAGCCACAAATGCCCCCTCCCTTAAGTCCTCTGCTTTCTAACTCACCTAGGCCAAGACAGGAGACCCGAAGACCAGACTTTCCTAGGTTCCTGCAGGATACAGAAGCAGCAGGAAAGGGTGGAGCGTCCATTAAGGACAGAGATTATCAGCCCCCAGCTCCTCTCCTTCCAGAATCAGAAGCCCTCGGGTAGCTCAGTCCAAAGGAACTAGACCCAGTGGGCCTACTGAGTTGGGCAGTACTACGCCCCGAGCCTAGGCGACTCTGGAGACAACATCCAGGGCCTCTGTGGCTGCCTGGTTTGTGTTTCTCCTGGTGGGGTCTCATCTGTGTTTGAGTCATCTCTGGGATGTGTGGAGTTTGGGGTCGGGAGGAATGTGACAGGCCGATGGTGATGAGTTTGTGGAAACAGACCCGCAGATAAAGAATGCTATACTGAAGGGCAGACACCGCGGTGGGAGTGGGTAAACCAAGTCAGGTTTAGGCACTCAGGCAGGCAGGGGTCGTTGGACAGGGGAGGCAGATGGGCCCTCAAAACGCAGGTAGGACACCTGAGTGGGGAGTATGACAGGAAAGGCCAGTTCTCCCTCTTCCTCCGTAGGCTCCCTCCACTCCTGTGGGCTTGTGGAGTCTGTCTCTGACCCAGAGAGCCCCTTCCTCCCAAGGTCTCCTCACCCAGGTAGTTGGCTCAGCTTCTCAGTCAGAGCCAGCACATGGAGGAGATCAAATTTCTCAAGTGACAAGAGTCAGGTCCGATCAGTACCCTCTGCTCACTCCCAAGTAGGAGCCCTTCCCTCCTTCTCTTATGCAAGTTCTGAGAGCCCAGCAGTTCTCTGAGAAAGTCGGTTACAATTCAGTCTACTTTCTCCACCAGGCCCCTGTCTGTCCCTCAGCATGGGGTTGAGATATGTGGTCCATGCTTCCAAGAGCCCCACTCGCCTCCCCACCAAGAAAGGTTGCAGGAGACCCGGCCCTTGGGGCAGGTGAGGGCAGTATCTGGGTCAGGCATCCTGAGCTGGCCGGAGTGAGAAGCCGTTTCCTTCCCACCTGCACCCCCCCTTCCCAGGACACCGACCCAAGGACACTCCATCCCAGAGGGGGCCCAGCCTGGAGATCCGTGCATCCCTGGCCCTCCTGGGGATAAGGAGGGAAGCTCAGGAGCACCACCTGGCTCTCTGACAGGACCGGTCAACCTTGGTGAAGTTGATTTTCTCCTAGTCAGGGGTATGGACGGAGACAAAGAGCGGAACTAAGTAAGGGAGTATCCCGGTGATGGAAAGAAGAGATGGGATGAGCTAGAACCTTCTTAGCGAAGATTGAGGGGGTCCTGGCGGCATCCCAGGAAGCCTCAGGGGTCAGGAAAGGGGAGCAGATGGGGTGGGCTGCCTGGCCACCCCCATACCTGTATTTCATGCCAGTGCGTCTGCCGGTGCTCTCTCGGAGGGCCCCAGCGGGCGCTGGGGGTCGGGGGACCAGTGCGGCCCGGGCCTTGGGGCCCGACCCTCCTCCCCCCGGAGGATTCCCATGCCCCCCGCCGACCGGCCCGCCATTACCGCCCCCGGGGCCCGGCCGGGGTCCACACAGACGGTCCTCACTGCTCCGGCTGCGAAGGTTCTGCTCGGTACACGCGATAGACACCTGCATGCCAACTGGCCAGGGCGGGGGAGGGGGCTTCGAGGGGGCGGGAGGAGTTGGGAACAGGGAAGCCCCGGCGCGGACCGCGGGGGGGTGCAGTGGTGCGAGCCCTGGGAGAGCGGGAATGCTGAGCAGGCTGCGGCGGAAGCCGCCAGGCAGGATCGGGCCCGCGGGGACCGGCTCCTGGAGGTCGCGGGGTTTGCGGCGGGAGGGGAGAAATGCGGGGGGCGGCACGAGTGCAGAGATTCGGATACGGGGTCCCTGGCGCGGGGAGGAGGAGGGAGAAATGGGTGAGGGCAAAGGTCGAGGGCGGTCCTCGGAGGATAGGGACCTAGGGACCAGGGCTGGTGGTGGAAGAGAAATGCCACCTCAGCCCAAACCGCAGCGGGACCGCTAGGCTCCCAGCAGCGTCGGCAGCGGGCCCAGATCATCAACATGCAGGCACCGCCCGCCTCCCAGCCAAACACGCCGCTCATCTGCATAAGCCCCGCCTCCGAAGGCTCCGCAGCTTGAATATTGTTGTGTTTGGAGAAGCCGGGAGAGCAGAACCTGGGAGGGTGATTATCATACCCCCTGGGACCCGCAGCACGTCGGCCTTCCTCCAGTAACGTGGTTTTCAATGGGGGTATTATTTTGTCCCCTAGGAGGTCATGTGGCAAGGTCTGGCGACATTTTTGACTGTCACGACTGGGATTGAGGATGCAGATGGTCTATCAGCAGCTCGTGAGTGGCGGCCAGGACAAAACGCTGGACAGCTCCCCCGGCCCCCAAAATGTCAATGCAGACGGTCCCTAGTTATGGTTTGACTTAAAATTTTTAAAATCTTTTTGATGGTGCAAAAGCGATAGACATTCAGTAGAAACCGTACTTTGAATTTTGTCCTGGGCTAGCAATATACTGTATGATACCTCCTGATGCTGGGCAGTGGCAGGGAGTCTCAGCCCCCAGTAAGCCCCTGGATCCCGAGTGTAAACCACCAATACACTTACGACCATACTGGTTTTTTGTTTTTTTTTTTTACTCTCAGTATTCAATAAATCACATGACATATTCAACACTTTATTATAAAATAGGCTTCGTGTTAGATGATTTTGCCCAACCGTGGACGAATGTAGTATTCTGAGCACATTTGAGGTAGGCTAGGCTAAGCTATAATGGTTGGTAGATCAGGTGAATTAAATGCATTTTCGACTTATATTTTCAACTGACGATGGGTTTATCTGGACCCAACCCCATTGTGAGTGGAGTAAGATCTGTCATTGTTGAGAAGCCCATGGACAAAGCCTCTTTACAGGCTCACGGGATGTGGCCACCCTGGTTCATGCCTTCGTGAGTGGGGCAGGACCCCGACGGACCACCCAAACTGACAAACTAACACGGTTAGGCTGCAGAGGGTGACAAAAACTTTATTCTGTACTTTTGCAGCATCAGGTAGGGGATAAAACTGGCGATGGCCTGGTCTGGAGGTGTAGGGATTCCTGGAGGCTTCCTTCCTCGGACGGGGAGGGCACCAGGGTGGGCTTTAGGCTGTTGCCCTGGGAGGGCTGCTGGGGAACAGGAGGGGGTAGAGGGGCATGCAGTGGGAGCCTTCATATGAAACAGGTTAGGAAGGGCCCCAGGCAGACAGGGAGTCTCCTGAGGGGTGAGGTAGGGTGCTTCCTTCAGCCAGCCCGGGCAGAGAAGAAAGGCAGAGAGCGGATGTAGGAGTCCAGCCGGGAGCGGAAGAGCTCACTTTGCACAGTTTGGCCCAGTGGGCACAAGGGATTCTTCACCACCAGCTCCACATACAGCTACAGAGGGGAAGGGTGTTAGAGCCAGGCTTTGGACACTTCTTGTTTTCAACCCCAAACCTAGTGTGACCTCAGGGGTGTGCGAATGCAAAGGATCAAGGGCTGGGAGGCAAGCCTCCCTGAGGAGAAAGTGGTGGTGTTTCAGGACGTAAAGAGTCCTGAGAAAACTCTTGACTTAACAGAGCTATGGTACAGTAGGATTAGGGCAGGGAAGCTCAAGGTGTCTTGAGGCTCTAAGTGACCATGGCTGTGGAGGGGCTTTTGGGGAGGGAAGGGTCCCAGGAGCCGGCACTGACCGCACTGTAGATATGATGCAGCACATCTCGGATGGGTCCGACGCCCAAGTCAGTATTCATGACAACCTTGATCCCAGTGGGCGTCTCGTAGTAATGGAGTTTGTAACGGCTAGTTTGGAAGGCCAGGAAGCCATCCTTCCTGCAGAGATGAGGACATTAAGGAATGGGAGCATAATCTCTTCCACAGAGATACTTCCGATCCTGTCTAGGTCGACTCCCTAAACATCGTTCACAGGAGCCTGATTTAGTAAGACACCTCCCACCTCCACTCCTCAATTTAGCCCCCGCACCCAACCTCTCTACCTTCAGATCTTCCCCTTCGCCGCTCAGGCCAGCCCCAGCACTCTCGCTCCAGACTCAGCCTCTCTCTGTCCGTCTCCTAACCCCTCCCTTGGGGGCCAATGTCTCTTCCACTCCACAAAGTCTCCCCCGCCCCCCAAATTCCCAAGGCTAGCCCTCCTTTCCTCAGCATCCCTTCTGACTCAGCGTACATGTCTAGCGGGGACATCTTGCTGACAAAGGAGCGGATAGAGAAGAGCATCCCGTACATCAGCTTGTACTCCTGGAGGGAGAGGGACAGAGTTAGCTCTTGGTTGTTGAAGGAGACGGGATAGGGGTGGGAACCAGACGGGGTTTGGATAGGAAGGGCTGGGCTGGGACCATGTGCGTTTGAGATGCGAGGTCACCCGGACTGCGCGGGGCCCTCTCATCACCTCTTCTTTGGGGATCCCCGCTTGCTTCTTGCGGTGCCACTCGCTGTAATGAAGGCACACTCCATTCCGGTCAAACAGGTACAGGTTGTGAACAGTCATCTGCAGGGCAGAGAGCGTTAAGCCTCGCTCCAAGACCGCCCACACTCCGGGGGCTCCAGTTCCGGGCCCCTGGCTCCCCCAACCCGGCAGCAACCCCTCCCCCGCACTCACCGGAACTGCTCCTGGTGCTCGTCACCAGATACTTCCGGTTTCCTCGGAGCCCCGCCCCACCGGCTCCTCAAACTGCGGTGGTGGGACAATAACTCCGCCCCATGCCTCCCTCAGCCAATCCGTGCCGCCGGCGCCGCGCACGCGCGTCTTGGGCTCCCGGGCTCCAGAAGCTGTCTGGGCGCTTGCGAGGGAGAGCGCTGGGCTGGTGACGTCATCTAGGCGAGCGAGGCGGGGCTGCGGACGGTGGGCGGGAGGCTGCCAACGGTTTTGAGTGTAGGGAAGGGGCGAGGGTGGGTGTGCAGGGGTCCTTGGCCTCCCGGACCGGGGCTCAGGGGAGGAGGACAATCCCTGGCCCGCACCTTGGCAAACTGAGCGGGGCTGAGGTCTGGCGGTGTGGCGAGGAGTTGCCAGGGGTGGTCCGGGTAGAGGATCTCAGGCTAGGCTGGAGGGCGGCGGACTTTGAGGGGGTGGCCGAGGGTTCACAGAGTTTCTCTTGGGATAGCACGGAGGGGGGGATTCTAGAAGAGCCTTGCTATGGCTTTCTTGCCAGGAGCGGTCGGAGGGGATATACAGGAGGGTTGACGGTGGGTGGAACAGGTGCATGGCGACGGGCGTGAGGAGGTGGGGAACGTGAGGGTCCTGCCTCTCTGAGACCCCGGCCAGGTGAGGGCCAAATAAGACTGCTGGAGGGAAAGCAGGCCGCTGTTGGATTGGGTCCATTTCAGTTTGCAGGTTCTGGGTGTGAGAATTTAAAAGCCTGTGCCAGAAGTTGGTCTTCAGCACTCCAGGGGAATTGCAGTGGGGCTGTCTCCCCTCGGTCTTCTGTCCCCACCCCCTCCTTGCTGCACCCTCCTTTTCCACCGGTCCCAGGCGCGGTGGAAAGAAATGCTTTTGCCCTCTCCCATGGCCTCTGGAACTGCTGGAAACCTTTCCTCTAACCAGAAAGCCTCCCTACCGTCCCCCAACAAGGATCCTTGGCTTGGAGTCTTCCTCCTTTCTCCCAAATCTTCTTTCTCAGTGCACTTCCCCCCCTGGAGTCTCCTAAAGCAGGACCAGGAGTTCCCACTTCTGCTGTCTGCAGTTGTCTGGTACTTGTACTCATGGCGACATCAGCTACCAGCCCCGGTTCACCTCTCCGGGCTGAGGATCTCCTGAGTGATTCATCAGAAGCCCCTGGGCTGAACCAAGTATCCTCTGAGGTGACCTCCCAGCTCTATGCTTCTTTGCACCTCAGTCGTCAGGCGGAGGCCACTGCCCGAGCCCAGCTGTATCTCCCCACCACCTCCCCACCTCCCCATGAGATGTTAGATGGCTTGGCCCAAGAGCTGAGTCACAGCTTGTCGGTTGGCTTGGAGAACAACCTGAAGAAAAAGGTGAGAGAGGTGTGTCTTGGGTACCTCTAGGGTCTTGGAATGGGTGGTCGTAAAAAAAAAAAAAAAAGATTGCTTTGCTGAGATTTGAACTCCTATTGTTGGATTGAACTCCTATTTTGAAGATACCTGCACCAAGGGACAGGTTGCTGTGCTTTGACTGGGACTTGGGCACTAAGCGAGGGTAAGGTTTCTTCAGTTCAAGAGAGAACTAGGCACTTAAGGATAGCAAAATTTGCTAAGCTCCTTCCAGCTCAAAGCTAGTTTGATTGTGTGGTTTACAGTTTGGCATGTCAGTCATTCAAACGCGGTCTAATCGATTACACATGTCACAGAGAGGTTGGTTATTAGTGTTGCAGACTGGTTAGGTCTTCCAGAGTTTGAAAAACTGATAGCCACGGACTCCACAGTCTTTTGATGAGGTATTTCCTCTCTAGTTGGCAAGGATCCTCACCAGGCTTGTCTTAATGTGCCCAATTAATTTATTTACACTATGTGCCTGCCTTCTGCAGACATTTGAGTTTCAACCCTTATTGGGTCAGTTCCGGTTTTCTTGGCTGTCCCAGGTGCTGGAGTAAAAATTCTTGGGTTTTAGGGACTACCAGATGCCACGTACCCTGGCAGCTTATAGAACATAAGATCATCCAGGTTGCATCTGATTTCCATGCTGCTTTTTTCTAGGATGGCTCCAAGCATATTTTTGAGATGGAAAGTGTTCGGGGTCAGCTCCAGAGCATGCTCCAAAACTCCCGGGATACGGCCTATCGTGAGTTAAACCCAGATTTAAGGGGTGGTAGAAGGTGGAGAAAGGAAGGCGTCCAAGACAAGAGAGTTCAGGAGGAGAGGCTCCAGTTCTTTGGGAGAGGGGCTAGAGGAGTGGGTGAAGTCGGAAGGAAAGGCCCTCTCCTCTCTTCGTCTTCGAAGAGACAGGGTTCCTATCCTTCCCTGACCCTGGCTGTGGGGTCCCTCTGGCTGCCTGCAGGGGATCCCATCGCTGCAGGTCCTGGCTCAGAGAGACGAGAAGACGACTCATTTGACAGTGATAGCACAGCCACCTTGCTTAAGTGAGTTCCCCCTGGGGTTCTTCTAGCTGGCTTGCTTGTCTTCTCGGAGAGGCAATGTTCCCTTCCTGAGTTCTGTCTTTCCTGCTTTTCTATCTCCTAGGGACCTAAGATGCTTGTCCCTTAGCTTTCAGTTTTCATCCTTTTTTCCCTATCTTCTATCCCCTTTACTCCTTGGGGACCATGGGCATCTGCTGCCTAGTGCCTGGCTTTCTCCCAACCTCTAGTCCTTCTTCCCCCAGAAGAGTTGGCTTGTTTCCTTTTTTTTTTTTTAAAGATTTATTTATTTATTTGAGAGAGAGAATGAAAGAGAGAGAGAGAGTGAGAATGAGAGAGAGAGAGAGAGTACATGAGAGGGGGGA